AGGATATGATTGAACAAGGGCTTTTAATAGCAATGGAGGAACAGGAGAATGGCAAAGCAACTATGCTGAAAACAGAAGTCAAATCATAGAGACATGTTGGCACATACAAATGTGTAGATGGCCAATGATTGGGTCTCTACAGTATCGTCACTTTTGAGGCTCATTCATAGCTTCTCTCTCTTATTTATAAATAAACTGAGTTCCAGGCTTCTGACATCTGAGCCCAGCCACAAAGAAGTCAGGCCAGGTATGCAGGGCTGAACATGTATTCAGTTAGCAAATAGTGATTGAAGGCACAAGGTTCTAGGCATTGTCTACTGGCTAAAGACTAAAGAGGAAACATGGATGGTTCCTGCCTTTAAGAAGCTCAGGGTTGAATCTTGGGCATGTGTATTTGTGCTGCAGATTCTCAGCTTTACAAAGATAATGAGAGAAAACTGGGACTTCCCACCAGTAAGTCTCCTTCTTGTGAAATAATTAGAGTTGAACATTGAGATAGGGGGTGGGAGAGCACTAGTGAAGAAAGTCCGAATGTGTTAGTAAAATTTTGAAATTAAAGAAGCAGTTTGACAAATTTTATTATTTTCAAGCAACGTGCTATGGCCTTAGACTTGTGAATTTTCCAGCAGACTCTGGTGAATTTAATTGATATGATCTGGAATCTGGTTAAGTGAGTCTACTGGCACTAGCTAAAAACACTGCTTATAGTTGTGGGTAGAATTTCATGGGTGGAACCCCCTACTCTAAGGAGTAGGGTTGCAAAGTATCTTGTATATATAGGACATATCCTATATTTAATGATTTTTGTCTTGCTTCCTGTATCGGCTTTTTCAGAACATCCTAAGTGTCCTGTATTCTGTTTTTTTCCCAATGAATTACAAAAATTTGGCAGTTACAGCCATTTGTCAAATTTATCTAGGCATCCTGTACTTTTATTTGCTAGATTTGGTGGCCCAACTAATGAGCTACTCAACCCCTACAGCCTTCCATGTTTCAACCTTCTCTGTAACATCTCTCTTCTAAGGTGAGTGGCCACCCAGCCTAATGGGCACTTCTTATCTCAGGAGTTTCCCAACATTGAATGAAAATCTGTCTCCCTGACATTTTTACCTGCTGTCCCTAGCATCTCTCTCTAAGATTATACTGAATAAATCGAATCTTTTTCTTTACAGAAGTTCAAATATTGAACTCACTGTATTAGAGGCCACATCTTGTCACAGACTCTTAACAAACTTTCTATGAGCCCAAACCAGTGGCGTGCTGGTAAGATTTGTAGCATTTAATTTCTTTGGTGAAAATACTCCTGCCACATTGGAGCTGCCCAAGTGAAGTGGCTGAACTGAGAGTTGGGAACTGATGTACACATTCTACTCTTGAGATCTGTATAAGCGGGCTGCAGCACATCAACCCTTACATTTTTCTTTTTATTAACATTTTTTGCTGCTTAATCATATTTCACTCTACCTGCATATTAAATTGTTATTTGTGTTTTGAGGGAAAGAATTCTACAAACATACCACAGGTAGATTTGACAAGAGGAGGTGAGAGACTATAGAGAATGAAGAAGAGGGTAAGGTAAAAAATAACTCCTAAGTTACTAGATATTGCTGCTCATCAAGATAGACAAGAGTAGGTTCAGGGAGAAAAGGTAACCAATTTATTTATTTATTTATTTATTTATTTATTTATTTATTGAGACAGAGTCTCGCTCTGTTGCCCAGGCTGGAGTGCAGTGGCGCGATCTCGGCTCACTGCAAGTTCTGCCTCCCGGGTTCATGCCATTCTCCTGCCTCAGCCTCCTGAATATCTGGGACTACAGGTGCCCGCCACCACACCCAGCTAACTTTTTGTATTTTTAGTAGAGATGGGGTTTCATGGTGTTAGCCAGGATGGTCTCAATCTCCTGACCTCATGATTCACCTGCCTCGGCCTCCCAAAGTGCTGGGATTATAGGCCTGAGGCACTGCACCTGGCCAAAGGTAACAAATTTATATATTAATTGGGCAAATATTTATTGAGCACCAATCCATGCCTGGCATAGATACTTCTAGGTACTGAGGACAGATAGAGCAGGGAACACACCAGATGAAATCCTTGTGGAGTTGATATTTTATCTTTTTAGAAATGGCCCATTGAATGAAACCTGTGGGACTCTCTTTGGAGACTGAACCTTCTGATGAGTAACTCTCCTCTCCTTTCCAGCTTTAAGGCACTAGGACATTTGATAAATACCTTTCTAGTACCTTGCACCACACCATTAAAGTTCTCCATCCAAACTTATTTTTTATTTTTTTAGACAGAGTCTCACCTTGTTGCCCAGGCTGGAGTGCAGTGGCACGATTTCGGCTCACTGCAACCTCCGCCTTTGAGTTCAAGCACTTCTCCTGCCTCAGCTTCCCAAGTAGCTGGGATTACAGGCACGTGCCACCAAACCTGGCTAATTTTTGTATTTTTAGTAGAGATGGGGTTTTACTATGATGACCAGGCTGGTCTTGAACCCTTGACCTCAGGTGATCTTCCCACCTCGGCCTCCCAAAGTGCGAGGATTACAGGCGTGAACCACTGCACCCGGCCTCAAACTGATTTTACATGGTGCAGTTGCTACCTTCCTCAGAAAGCCTTCCCTGACCTTCCTTACTTCCCCCACTCCAAATCTGGGTAACTCTTGTTCCCACAGTAACCTGTGTAGTCATAAGACATAGCCCTGGTTTTTCTGTGTTTGTGTCTCTTTACTCCAGTATGTATCTCTTTACTTCCCTAGTATATTGTGCACTTCCTGAGGGTGTTTCCTCAGCAAATTCCATCTTAAATAGATGAGGCAGACCCATCCACAGCTTTGCCTTTATCTGAAGTGGTAAAGTCCAAACTACATTTTCAATGTAAAATGTTCATTTAAGCCAGTCAAATCATTTTACTTTATATTAATATTTTCCATCTTGTTATACTAAAACAAAAACCCTAGACACAAAGGGAGTTCCTGAAATCTGCCTAGAGGAGTTTTATTTTAATTAAACACACACATACGTTTTTTAAAGTTCATTATAAAAGCCATGCTTTTGAACTTCCTAATAATGACTTTATTCGCTGTTTTACATTTGGCTCACTGCTAGAAGACAGTTACAAGCATAAGAAATGGACCCAAGGACAGACATTTACTTGGGAAGGAAATAACACAAAGAAGCGTATCAATCGATGTCTTTGTCAGTCATGTGACCAACCAGGAACGGGGGTGGCTTTGCTCTAGATTCTGGCATCCAGTAGAAACCATCTCTAGAAACCATCCCATCTTTATCCATAATGGTAATAGAGCACGGTGTTCTCTAGACGCATGTAGATCTGCCACATGGCAAAGCTCTAAGACTCTTAAGAATGTCATTTGAACATGATTTCTTCTTGCAAAGTGGGCAGTTTCAGCAGGACCTGTAAGTTTGCTTAGGTTTTCTGAAGATACCGGCATTAAAGACTTAGACTTACACATTCCTTTTGTCCTCCTGACATATTTCGTAACCACACTCTCAACATTCCAATAAGTTTTGAACTTGGAGGCCCTTAGAACATAATTACATTTCTAATAAGTTTTGAACTTGGAGGCACTTAGAACATAATTACATTTCTAATTTTGTTTCAGTTTGATATGTGTCACTTCCTTCCTTCCTTTTTTTTTGGTAGAGACAGTGCCTCACTATCTTGACCAGGCTAGTCTTGAACACACCAGGCCTAAAGTGATCCTCCTGCCTCAGCCTTCCAAAATGCAGGGATTACAGGTGTGAGCCACTGTGCCTGGCCTATACTTCCTTTCTTAAATCAACTATTTATTTATTTATTTATTTATTTATTTAGACAGGTTCTCAGTCTGTTACCCAGGCTGGAGTACAGTAGTGCACTCTTGGCTCACTGTAGCCTTGACTTCTGGGGCTCAAGTGATCTTCTTTGAGGACTATAGGCACACACCACCATGCCCATCTAATTTTTTGTATTTTATGTAGAGACGAGGTTTCACCATGTTGCCCAGGCTGATCTTGACTTCCTGAGCTCAAGCGATCCTCCCATCTCGGACTCTCAAAATGCTGGGATTATAGGCGTAAACCACCACGCCTGGCCTTAAATCAACTTTAGAGTCAACATCTATTATCACTGGAGCGTCTAGAGAAACTCCATCATGTGGTGCTCTCTTTCCTGATGTGTTGTGCTCAAACAGCTTGTTCTCATCAGATGACTTATTTGCTATGATGTCTATACTTCAAGAGCTGCTATATGTATTACATACATCAAATCTTTCTGTAAAGTTTGATTTTTGTTTTTATAAAAGGAAAATAAATGTTCCAGGACCAAGGGACACAAAGAGTTTTAAAATTTTTAGTTCTGTAGCCTCATATATTTTAACAGAAATATAAAAACAGATAGTAGCAGTTTCCCAGTGGAGAAAACTTTCCAGATGTCTCCACTATATCTCCTTTCTTTGCCTCTCCTTGAGAGAAGGCTGGAACTGATGGGTAAATTGGTTTTTTGCCCATCAGCCTATTCACATCTTTCCTTCCTTGCTCCTACCCTAGATTGTGCATTTTTTTTTTTTTTAAATCTGTTCCATTTCAGACATTTAAAGAACAGCCTTATCTAATCCTGCTCAAGCAAAATCTCAGAATCCTTAAATACAAAAGGTCCTGTGTGGCCAGTCATATAGTTTACGGCAACTCTATGAACTTTGACCTAAGTTTTATCTCTGATTATATTTGGGACTGCTGCCCCTTTACAGTAATACTAAAAAACAAAACAAAACTTAGGCAAGTTTTACGGCAAGCTGGGGAAGGGGCATGTGAAGAGGTAGGAATTGCCTGAGGTTGGGGGTCCCTAAAACATACAATAATCACCCAAAGCCCATTTTCCTCAAAGCTGGGGGTAATGGCTAAAGTACGTTCTCAAAGCATCATCTGCCCTGAGAAAGGGCAGCTATTCTTTCTGCAGAGATCTCTGTGCACACTAATCTGTACTGTCCTCAGTACCTTGATGGCTGCTTGTGGTCATACACTCCGTGGACCAGTCTTGAGGGATCACAGGGCCAACCAGCTCAGCAAACCTCTCCAGAGGACAGCTGGAGCTGCAGCCAGGTAGCGTGAGCAGATACGGCTCGTGCTGCGTCTCATTCCGATAGTACATCTCCACAAAGTACTCCCTGGCAGACAAAGGCAGAGGAGAGAGCTCTGTTAGTTCTTTGTTGTTGAACTGCCACTGAATTTCTTTCCACCTGGACTATTACATGACAGTTGAGGGACTAATGGAAAAACTTATGGGGAGATTTTAGCCAATTTAGGTGTGTAAATGGGGAGACTGGGGCAGGCGGGACAGATTTGCAGGGTGGAAATGGGAGGGCTTGTTTGTTAGATGAACAGGGACATAGGAGGTGGGCACCAGGATGCAAAATCAGAGGAGGTGGTGAGAAGTGATGGTTGCAGGGAGCTGGGTGTGACTTTGAGCCTTTGGATAAGAAGTGGGAGGCAGGTGGGGGTGTCGGGTTTTCCTTCTCCTCCTCCCTTCTTTATAGGCTTCTCATTTACTCCTTTTTTTTTTTTTCTGTTTCTTGAATATTTCTTTCAGTCCTTCTTCTGAATGTATCTCCCCTCTCCTTAACTAGGCCATAAACATGGAACTGAATAATACATAACATATGTGCTTGAATATATAGCAAGACTGTATCAGAAAATTATTCCTCAGAAAAAAGATGTGGGTATGTGTTCCAGTCCTTCCATTGTGTCACATTAAGGAGAGCTCTCTCAATGCTTAATCTCAAAAAAATAAACAAAAAACCCCCCCAAAAACAACAATGTACTATTTGGGAAAGTCCAATGGTGTAAATTAACCTCAGTTAAACCACCATGAGTTGCTTATGGAAGCCATTTGCTAATCAAGGAGGCAGGAGGGGAACTCAAGTAGGATTTAGTGATCCTTCTTTTGGTGGTAACCTTCCAATGGCTACTTTTGGATGTCATTATAAACAAGCCTTTTAAAACATCACTTTAAAAAGCCATATAAACATAGTAACTGCAAATATTCACTTATAAGATGTCTATAATGCCGGGTGCGGTGGCTCACGCCTGTAATCCCAGCACTTTGGGAGGTTGAAGCGGGCGGATCACGAGGTCAGGAGATCAAGACCATCCTGGCTGACATGGTGAAACCCTGTCTCTACTAAAAATACAAACATTAGCTGGGCGTGGTGGCACATGCCTATAGTCCTAGCTACTCGGGAAACTGAGGCAGGAGAATCACTTGAACCTGGGAGGCAGAAGTTGCAGTGAGCTGAGATCACACCACTGCTCTCTAGCCTGGGCAACAGAGCGAGACTCCATCTCTAAAATAAAATAAAATAAAATAAAATAAAATAAAATAAAATGTCTATAAAACTTACAAAAACCTCCCTAATATTATATGAATGGATGCTTATATCTTGGAATAACTTTTTCAGTAACAGCATCTTCTGTCTTAGGATGATATGGCCTAGATGATCAATACTCCATCAAACTCCATTATTCTCTTTCCATAGAATTGAATTATGGCTCAGAAGTGACCACATTGCCAAGACTCCCTTGTACCTAGGTGGAACCAAGTCACTAATTTAGCCAGTAGAAAGTGAGTAGAAATGATATGTGTCTCTTTTAAAAAGCTGACGTGGTTGATAAGCAGGTTGCTGCCTTCACCCTTTCATTCCTTTCTACAAGCTGCCTGCAAGTGAGCATGGCACTCTTGAAACTGTAGGTCCAAAAAGGGAACCCTGGGTGCCTGAATCACCACGTGTGAATCTCATCTATTAATGTACACCTGCATTGTACTGTTAGATAAGTGTGAAATTAACTTTCATTGGGTTAAGCCTTCAAGAATGTGAGGTTCATCTATATAGAAGACAAAATTACCCTTATTAGTGAATATATGTGGGAAACAATTTTAAATGACTCAAAATTAGCTTTAGTGGTGAAGACACAAGCAAAAGATGCATACAAAGAGTTTAGATAAAATCATTTTATAAAATGTAAAAGTGAAACAAAACAATATTAACTTAATGAATTATTTTATATAGTCTATGATTTTAAATCTGTATCTAACCCAAAATTAAATCTTTAAAGAATATTTTTAGCTACCTTTTCTACAACCTGAACAGTTTACATATTTAAGGTGGCTGAAAACCTAAAATATTCTCTCTTTCTATCTCTCTCCATATCTTCTCACAAGACAATGTGAGATCACTTCATAGCCAGAATCACCATAAGCAGGCTTAGACAGAATTTATTAACTCGAAGCCTCCTTGTTCCTAATTTAAAAGCAATCATGTTTAACCTTTGATATTTCCCTAGAGTGCCAATAAAAAAAAAATCCTAATATAGCAACAAATTGGTCTTGACCTTTATGTGACCCTTGGTTAATTATTTTCTGTACGTCACTGGCCTTCAGTTGAAAAAATACTCCATACTTGATTCATAATATAGATTTAACTCAGGGTGGTAAGAGAAGGCAATTCAGTGGGAGAAAATGCTTCTGTGCGTCCAGAAAGCAAGCTCTGGACCACTGGGGTCCAGAAACCAAACAGGGAGGTACAAGTAGAGTCAGTAGCTTCTCTTGTCTTATCCCAAAGGAGATGGTGCCTGCTCCTGAAGCTGATCCTGGAATTTGGTTGGATTTATTAACTCTGTGCCCAGAACTGGCCTTTTGAAGGGCAGACTTGTGCTGGACTTGTTATTAAGAGAGGGTTGTATGTCTCTAGTCCTTTCATTCCCATTTTCTGCTCTAGTTGGCCAATCTCCATTTTGTGGGTCTTATCTCTCCACTCTGACTCTAGATATTTGAGAGCAAGGTTAACTAAGACCACATTTTAGTTCTAGTTCATTGTGCCTGACACCTAGTTAGAGGTTCAATAAAGAATGTATCTGCCATTCTCTAACTGTGCAGAGCTCTCTTTGTAAGCAGTGAAGATATTGGTTGAGAATGAAGTCTCTGTGCTGTTACTTTCTTACTCTACAAATTCAGGGGCCAGAAAGTTACATCCAAGACTACAAAATTTGCGAAATGAAATACAGGGCCCATTGCTTAAACATTATTACAATTTAAAGATGGCGACAGCAGATCATTAAAACAAGCATGGGCTCTTTTGAGCCAGGTCCCTATGTGACTGCAGTCAGGTTGGGGTGCAGCTATTGTGAATGCCTTGAGGGAAAGGCAAAATAGATCTCCCTGACTAATCCTGAAATAAACTCTGGGGTCACTGCCTTAACTCAGCCCTTTCCTTGCTCTTATTTCACTAATAATATCCCATGAAGTCTGGTAACTTGTCCCAAACACCTCCTTCTCCTCCCAATGAGAATGTCATTGTCACAGCAGATAAATATTTTTGGCATGACCTTGGCTGTGATAATCAATTCTTCCCCAGTTTTTCCAGGACATTCCTGGTTTTAACAATGAAATTCACATGTTCTGAGAACACCAGATTTCATGGGTCAATTCTGGGTGAACTGGGACACTTGGCTACTCTAACTTTAACCCTTCTAATGGGTTTTCAAGATAAGCCGTGGTCATCTGGTGAGGGCCACATCAGGTCACAAAGAGGTAGACACCAGTTAGAAGTTTAAGAATCTTGACTTGTGGATATGAATCATCAGAAGCTGAATGAATATGTTTGAATTGTTTAATTTAAAAGATATTTTATAACCATCAATAAATTTTTCTCTTGCCAAGTATATATATAATACATGCCTACTTCTTAGAATACCTTAATTTTTTAAAAAATGTAATTTCTGTTACATAGGCTATTTCCCAAATTTTTCATCTACTGTGCATGTTATTTTCCAATAAAAGTCTTCATGAAAAAGAAAAAAGAGACATGACTAGCAAAGAGCTTGTTACCACCATTCTTCCCTCTGAATATAAAACCAAATCAAAGACAAACAGGCACACAACCCTTAACCCAAAATAATAATAATGAAACCTAAGGTCCAGTGATACTGGTTTTGTAAAGCACTTAGTCACTTACCCCTTCTCAAAGTACAATTCCATCAAGTGGCAAGCAGCATAGGGAGGAAGGAGTCCGTTGAAAACATCTAGCGCCACCTGTAGGCCACTCACAGTAGTGTCATGCTACAGAGATTGAAATCAATTTTATCAAGCCTGTTCAGATTCACATTCAATAGGTATGAAACACTTGTAGAGCACCATGATGGCTTCTGATTCAATTCAATTTCCCATGCGCCCCATAATGACTTAATAAGTAGAGAAGGAAAGATTTTGGTTGCGTATTAGCGGTGTGCTAGGCAGTACGATTCAGATATGTATCATTATTTCCACTTAAAAGATGAAGAAATTGGCTGGGTGTGGTAGCTCATGCCTGTAATCCCAGTGCTTTGGGAGCCCGAGGCAGGCGGATCACTTGAGGTCAGGAGTTCGAGACCAGCATGACCAACATGGTGAAACCCCATTCCTACTAAAAAAAAAAAAAATGCTGGGTGTGGTGGCGTGGGCCTGTAAATCCAGCTACTTGGGAGGCTGAGACAGGAGAATTGCTTGAACCCGAGAGGCAGAAGTTGCAGTGAGCCAAGATTGCACCTCTGCACTCAGAAGGCGACAGAGTGCAACTCCATCTCGATAAAATAAAATAATTTAAAAAATAATAATAAAAGATGAAGAAATTGAGACCCAGGGAAATTAAGCAACTTGCTTAATGTCATATAACCCAAAAATGGAAGAAAGTAAATTTGAATCAAGTCTCCTTAAGTGCTGTGCCTTTTTGAAATACTTTCAAAGTATTTCAAACACATTAATGCTAGATTATATTTTTCTATAGATTAGCATCATCTGTGATTTAAAGTTGTGGAAGAATATATGAGGTTTAAATGTTTAGGGAAGATAAAATACCAGAAAGTATAGGGTGCAGTTGAAAAATAATTGTAAAGCTAAATGTTTACCCCAGAGTGTCTGGAAGGTATAGGGGAGTGGTTTTCAACCCCCTTTCTGCCACTGATTAGCTATGTAATCTTAGGCAATCCTCAACTTCCGTATCTACAAAACTGGGATAACATTTGGCTGCCTAAACTGTTTGGCAGTATGCACATATTCAAAAGGGGTTAGAAGTAATCTAATAGAGAGAGAGAAAAAAAAGGGGCTACAGATATGACATGCTGGAAGTCACACCATAAGTTAAAACTAGAAATCAGATTAGACACTACAAAAATTGGCAGAAATGACTAATTTCAGGCCTGTCTGTCTCCAGGAAGCACTCTGCTCCTGCCCAGGACTATTTCCCTAGTCTATACCATTTAGGGCTCCTGATAATAAGCAAACTTCAGTCACCTCTTTCACCTTCTTGCATGAATAAAAACATGACTTTCTTTCTCCAGCCGCAGCTGAGAAACCTTTCGTCATGGAGACGTGAGTGAAAGGAGTCAGCACGCTATGTCCTGTTTACCTGCTCATCCCAGACGCCATGGGCAGCTATTTGAATGTATAATACAATTGCAGAATTTTCCCCCAACACGGTGTCTCTCCCTGGCTTCTCAGACTGTTCTCTCCCTGGCTTCTCCAAGATGAAAGCCTGTTCTGAGATCTCTTGCTCTGTTTTCTTTCTACTCCCAAATGTCGCTCTAACTTTGAGTTGCAGTCCTTCTTCTCTTTCCTCCTTCTATTCTCTTTGCCATCTGAAGTTTTCCGCTTAGATGCCCCTGTGGCATTTCAAACCTATTGTCTAATCGGTACATTTACCTAGCCCAGGACCACCTCCTTCCTGCCACTGAGAACTGAAAACTAGACTTCATCTGGGGCTTCACCCTCCACATCATTGTCTTCCACCTACTTCCAATTCATCACTGAGAATGCACACTCAGCTTTCGTTGTAACCTGGCTCACCTCTTTTCCTCTCCTGTCACTGCCCTAATTTTAGGCCATATCCCCATTTTTCTAGACTATCACAAAAGCTTTCTACACCATATCCTGTTCCCAACATCCAGTCATTCTACAAAATAATTAATTTCCAAAATGCTGCTCCTATCCTGTCACTCCTGCCCTGCCTTCCCTGAGCCAACACTGACAGGGGGTTCTCCCTTGCTTCCTTGCTTCTTTCTACAATTAAACAAAGAAGCAGTAGGACAACATGGCCCTTCAGCTGCCATCCAGCATAAACTTCTGACACTTTATATCAGGGCTGTCTAAAAAACTTTCCTTGATGATGGAAATGTTGTATATCTTTGCTGTCCAATTCAGTAGCCACTGGCTATATATGGTTATTGAACACCTGAAATGTGGCAAATACACTGAGGGATTTAATTTTTCATTCTACTTAATCATAATTAATTGAAATGTAAGTAGCTACTTGTGGCTACTAGATTCCATATTGAGCAGCACAGTTAATATCCACTAATTTGGTACCACCTTTTCCACACACTACTCCTGGCCTTCCACTATGTTCTAATGATTCACTTTATTTGTCCTACACACTAGTGAGGAGCACTTACTAAGCCCTTTCATCTTGATGTCTTGGATGTGCTGCCTTGTCCAGGAATCCTTTCTGCTTCTCTTCTCCACCCTCTTGGAACAGAAGGGATGCCTAGCTTTTCTGAGGCGCTAAAGCACTTGCCTGCATGGCATTTCCGTACCGTTTTGTATAGTGTTTATGTTCGTCTTCTTGTTAGTTTAGATTATAAATCCCTTAAAGGCCAGAATGATGCATTTAATTCTAAAAGCTTTGTGCAAGTGCCTACTACGTACGAGGTGATGGGGAAACGAAGATAAAGAAGATGAGGTCCTGTGCTTCAAGAGATCATACACTTGAACAAATAGATGCTAAATGAAGACAAAAATACTTACTGTAGAATACATGATAAGTTTTTTGTAGCTTGGCATCTGAGTTGCTCTCTTCATGTGATTGAGGATTTCATTGACCAGGACACCTTAAAGGAGATGAATCAATAACAAAACTGAACCAAACATAAGCTTCTATTTTAGTTCATTAGCTTTTTGTCAATTCATAGCTGAAGACTCTTCCTGCCATGACTTAAGAAGTGGGGCAAAGATCTAATTTTGTTGAGCATCTGCTCTGTGCTAGGTAGTGTGATTTACATACCTTTTTAAAAAACTGAATCCTACGTCTCAACCCTTTCATAGGTAAGGAATCCTAAGTCCAGAGATATTAAGTGACTCACACAGCCAGGTGAGGAAAGCTGGACTGGCACACTAGGACTGTACCATACCAGGTTTTGTTAAAGCTCCAGTTAGGAGGCTGATAAACTTGGAAGGAACTTCAGACAGCTTTTTCAGATCATAAAAGAGAATTCTTAGCCCATGTTCTTCTCCAGAGCAGACCTGAAATGACAGCATAGCGGGTACTCCTCTGTTTTCACCCGTCTTGCTTCTACTTTCTGACAGTCAGACCTGTGGGAAGTCATGGGAGAAAGCAGCTCTCTGGATGTTTGTACAGATCATGGACTATTCTCTGTGGACCATTTTTCCACGTTACTCTAGGTGTCACTATGTGGGGGACAGCCAGCATCTTTAGCTTTCATTTGAGGTTCTGTCTGTCTTCAGCAGAGGAAACTTTTGCTCTTCACACTTTACATCTGAACACCTAACTGCTGTTGCTCCTCAGGTGGTGAAAGACAGATACAGAGCTTACAGTATTTATCCTATTTGTAGGCACTGAGGGCTGTGGGGTACCTTGTGGTGCCAAAACAGATCCTGTTTTAAGGACATGTTGCTTCAGAGATGTCTATAACTATCTGGTGTCTCTGTTGGTCTCTTTACACTGCATGTGCTCTCCTGGCTGAGAATGACCAGTAGGGTGTGTGTGTGTGTGTGAGTTGTAGTGAGTCGGTTATTGATATTAACAGATTGACTATAATCTCAGGTTCTGTAGTCCACTCAGCAAACACACACTGAGCAGCTATGATGGGCCAGATACTGTGCTAGGAGAATCAGACCTGGTCCCTGCCCTCCAAAAACTCATAAAACAGCAAGAAGAGACAGGTCTGTATACACCAGTGAGTATAGAAAGGGGTTAATTAAGGAGGTAGGTGATCTGCTGTTTCTGTAGATGCTGGAAATTCCTTGAGGATGAACAGGATAATCTGAATGTACATGTCTAATAGGTCTAAATCCCTCCCTCTCAGAGAGGGTTGCCCTGTGGAATGCATGAGGGACTTTAGCTTGATTAACATGTCATATTGGTGCTAAACTCTGTGGCCAAGCTTTTGGGAGCCATGACAGCCACCTGCAATCAGCTACTTGCCCTTTGTCAACAAGTGCCTTTTGGTCAGGCTGCAGTTTTGGTAATGAATGTATCAGTTCTTGGTTCTGGGATGATTACACCCTTATCCCAGGAGTGATTGGGGTGACTATCATGATTATCTTCAGGCTCTGGAATATCAATATTCTGTTTTATAGGGGAAACTGAGGCTCAGAGAGCCTCCACAACTTAATCAGATTATACAACTTGTAAGCAGGGAAGGAGGGCTTTAAATCTAGCATGTCCTGTGTCAAAACCTTTATTTGTAATCATTAGACCATGCTATAGTGGAAAGCTAGCTTCAAAGTTATCTGTTGTATCCTTTTTAAATCTTCATAAACTAGACGAAATATCATTGATTTGAAGACATAAACTTTACTTCCTTCATTTCTAGTCTATAGCAGAGGTTGGCAAACTTTTCTGTAAAAGTCCAGAGAGTAAATGTCTTAGGCTTTGTGGGTTATAAAATCCGTTGCAACTACTCAGCTCTGCGGTGGTAGCTTGAAAGCAGCAATAGACAATGCATGAATGAATGAGTGTGGCTGTATTTCAGTAAAACTTGATTTACAAAACCAGGTAGTGGGCTGGATTTGGCATACAGGCAGTAGTTTGCCAACCTCTGGCCTAGAGCAAGAAGAGCTCTCTTTTCACTGATATGACCAGCCATATGGTCCTAAATTTGCCCCAGGGATTTTTTTTTTTTTTTGGGGTGTGTGTGTGTGTGTGTGTTACTGAACAGTGTCACCCTTGAAGTTAAATGATGAAATAAACTTAGACTGGGCACAGTAGTTCATGCCTATTATTCTAGAACTTTGGGAGGCCAAGGTAGAGGATCACTTGAGCCCAGGAGTTCAAGACTAGCCTGGGCAACATAGGGAGACCCTGTCTTGGCAAAAAAAAAAAAAAAAAAAAAAAAAAAAAAAAAAAAAATTTAGCTGGACATGGTGGTGCATGCCTGTAGCCCCAGCTACTTGGGAGTCTGAGGTGGGAGGATCGCTTGAGCCTGGGAGGTCAAGGCTACGGTGAGCCCTGATCATGCTGCTGAACTCCAGCCTGGAGGACAGAGTGAGACCCTGTTTCAAAAACAAACATACAAACAAACAAAAAATACAAAGAAACAAAAACAAAACAAACTAACCAAAGAACTAGCAAAGGCCAGAAGATGGCCCTGATGTTTCCACATTACTCTTTGTCACTTAGACAATGTGTGTTTTCTGTATAGGACTCTGTTCAGCTGTTTCATCATTGAACGAACACGTAGTTGACAAATCTCTCTTGCCCAGCCAGATCTGAATAATAGTCTGAGCTTTTGTTTTGGCAGAACCACACAGGAGAAAATTTCCTGCTTAACAATGGTGCTGGACTTTTTCCAGAAAGCAGGACTGCTGGTTTCATACAAGTGCCAGCCTTTAGAATCCAAGATCAGGGAACATCTCAGAGAAGGACTCTTATAGATACAGTCTAGTTTAATCTCCTCATAGGTAGTGAAACAGAGATCCAGAGAGGGGAAGTGGCTTCTCCCAAATGTAATCTTCTAGTAGCCAAGGGGAATAAAAGAGGAAACATGAGGAAAGTAGAGCAACTCCATTTCTTATTCATATATACACATCCCTACATCTACTGTTAGACTACTGTCAACTCCCGTCTGGTATAAAGCATGTTGGGATTTTATTCAAATGCAGATCCTGATTCAACTCATTTGGGAGTGGGGCCTGTATTTCTAGCCAGGTGGTAGTTGATGCTGATGCCGAAAAGTAGACTGCACTTTGAGTCGTGAGGGGCTAGATGCCTGAATCCACCATAACTAGGTTGGGGGAAATAAATCAAGAGTCCCACTTCTACCATCTGATGGGGCTTGTGACTGAGTCACACTGCTGGCACCTGGTGGGCCAGAAATGAGGCTGAGTGCTTATGTGGCTTCCATGGCACCCTCTGCATCTTTTGTTGTTAAGCACTTAAGATTGAGCTTCTGCCCGTATACATAATATGTATCCTGCCTGGTAATTTTTTCCAACACTCCAGGTTCCATCTAAGACTCCTCTCTGGAGGCTCTCCCTTCCTCAAGGCTGGATCTCGTTGCTCATGTGTTTAATGTGAAGTAAGGACTTGCACATTTCTACCAAGTCTGTCTCTGTACCATGCAATCAGGGTTTCTGTAATAGCAGGTCTACAACATCCTCATGTCATTAATGACCACTGTCGAAAATTTTTTGCCCCAACCTACTGTATTCATCTCACATGTATTTGCTCCTGACCATCCTGGTTTCATACCTCATTCCCCTGATTACAGCTTGCCTCACTCTTTATACCTGTTGTGCAGCCCTGCTTTTCTAGCTATAATTGACTCCTTTTCTGGTCAGTGATTTGAATTTTTTCCCTAGTTAAGTAGCCTCAGTGAACAACCTCCAAGTCTGGTCCAGCCCTAATATGCTTTGCCTCTAGGCATTCTCTTGGGATTTTGATGGACTTGTCCTGATGCTGTGGTGAATAGTGTCTGTCAATGGCTGGAGTCATGATGCGATTTTATTAATCTCAAAATGCCTCAAATATATGTGCCAATCTGACTTGGACCATCTCCTGTGGCTTGGACTTTCCTCATTATGTCAACCTGACATGATGGACTTTCTCTTCTTCTTTATCCCTAGTTTTAATACCTATGATAACCACATCTGAGTCTGACACCCCATTTGGTATCTTGGCCTGCCCATCCAATTTCTCTCATAGGCCCCAACATCTGTCCTTGTCTTTGCTGGTCCTGACTTTTTTCTTCCATCCACTTATCCTGATTACAAGAATCCAGCATCCTCTTGCCTGGGTCTGCCTTCATATGGCAGGGTGTCCTGTGCTACAAAGAGCCAGTTCTAACCAAGAAGAGGCATCACTGATAAATAATTCTCAATAGCTTTCAATGTCAATGAAAAATTTCAAGCTGTGTTATAAACTTGTCAGTTGCAACGTATTTTAATAGTGCATAATTAGTCTGAAAAATATAACAATTTGCCTGAAAAATATATTTTATCAGCTTTCAGAATGACTACCACTCAGGGTTTCAGGAAAACAGGCCACTTTTGTCATACCTCCCACTTGAAAAATTCATCATATAGGCCACAAGACACAACTGATTTTCATGGGACTCAGACAAAGATCCTTGATTCTTGATCTGGAAGGGATGGAAAGGATCATTTAGCTTTGGCTTTCATTTTCCAGATAGAAAACTAAGGGCCTGAGTGAGTAATAGTTATGATTACACTAACATATGACATTGATTGACAGTGTATTATGTACCAGGTACTGTTTGTTCTAAGCCCTTTAAATACATACATTCATCTTAATACTCACTGTCTATGAAGTAGGAATCATTAATATCCCCATTTTGCAGAATGGAAACTGGTGTAAGAGTGATTAAGTGAATTGTCTGAGATCACACAATTGATTAGTGGAGGGACTAGGACTCAGACCCAGATCATTCAACCACAAATCCAATATGCTCCTCTCATTTTTTAATACTTACCCCCTTGGAGCCTAGATTTCTCTTTCTGCTTGTGAATTCCATAGAGGGACAGGAGGGACAATTCTGACAATTCTCTCAGTTTGGTCATGGCGTCCTCAGTGGCCCAGGAAGGTAAAGTGAAATTGTGAACACTCTGTAGCAAAGAAAAAGGAAGAAAAATGTATGTGTATTTGTATGACTGTCCTCTTTGTTGACTTATTTTATCCTTTTTCACCCCACAAGAACTAGTAGGGCCAGACTTGCTTGTCCTGCCATTTCTTTCTAAGAGAACTTCATATTGTGATAAGTAGTGGTATTGACTTTCAGAAGAGAAGCTTATATAAATGAATTTGTCCATTCCTACCCAGCCCATAGGTTTTGGTTTAACTCTGGATCAGTGGGTGGCTCATATTTTGTAGAGTAAGGGTGCAGTAGGGAAATAATACCTCATTCCTTTATGAAAGGGTTAGAAATCTTTCTATGAACCTGATAGAGTTAAATGATATTTCATTAAAAGCTGAATGGGCTACCTGAGGGGCCAGTTAGGAAAGGCAATATATTTCTGGAGCCTTCAGTAATATATTCTCCCCTACCCCTGTCAAGGTCTAGTTTGCTGACTTTTTTTTTTTTCAGAGACAGGGTCTTGCTCTGTCACCAAAGCTGGAATGCAGTGACCATCACAGCTCACTGTAACCTCAAACTCCAGGGCTCAAGCAATCCTCCCACCTCAGCCTCCTGAGCAGTTGGGACTATAGGTGCATGCCATCACATGTGGTGCCTTTTTTTTTTTTTTTGAGACAGAGTCTTGCTCTGTCACCTAGCCTGGAGCGCAGTGGCACGATTTCACCTCGCTGCAACCTCCACCTCCTGTGTTCAAGCGATTCTCTTGCCTCAGCCTCCTGAGTAGCTGAGGATTACAGGCATGCGCCACCATACCTGGATAATTTTTGTATTTTTAGTAGAGATGAGGTTTCGCCATGTTGACCAGGCTGGTCTCAAACTCCTGAGCTCAGGCAATCCACCCACCTCAGCCTCCCAAAGTGCTGGGATTACAGGCATGAACCATTGCACCTGGCCACACGTGGCTAATTTTTAAAAGTGTTTTGTAGAGGTAGTGCCTTGTTATGCTGCCCAGGCTCATCTTGAACTTCTGGCCTCAAATGATCCTCCCATCTCAGCCTCCCAGAAGTGCTGGGATTACAGGCAGGAGCCACCACACCTGGCTGTAGTTCACTGACTCTTGAGGAAAGCCTGCACCTTGCACACAGTAGACACTTGGTAAATATCCGTTAAAATGAACGAATAAGTACAAGCAGGGCAGGTAGATACCTTGTGCCAATATTTATTACCCGTTAGGAAGAGTTGATTAGGAGTCCCCCAGTTTCAAATGCAGGATTAAGAGAGAGAGAAAGTGAGTTCGTGAAAGAGGAGACCAAAGTGGAGTGACCTACAGAGGAAATAAGTGAGAGAGATTTGGAAAAGATATCACGTAACATGACCACATTTTGGAATAGCTCAGATCAAACTGTCATAGGAAGAAAAAAAAAATCAAGACTGGAACGAAAATGGGGGCTCCTGCTTTCACTGAAGAGTCTTTTACAAGGCTAATGAATTTTCACTGAAATAGATGGTGATGATAAAGTGAAAATACTGGGAAAGTAGCATGTGATTGGGTCAATTAACTCTAGGGTGGATGGAGGCAAACTGTGTCATCTGTTATTAAGATAGGACTGCGGAAGTAATTGCTGACCCTAGACTGTCATGATGACCTCAAAGTTAGAAATCAATATGAATTAGGTGGGTGGTCAGAATCTTGCCCCGTATTTAGTGAACTAGTTGGGAAAACAAGAATAGAGAGTACCAGAAGGTGGAGCATGGTGAGTGAGAAACACCGTGTAACCTTGAAAAACAATCATAATTTATCTGGCCACAAAGGATATTTCAAGTGCATCGCAAAGCAAGAAAGAGGTTCTTTCCTGGTAAGCATAGATAAATAGCCTGGCTTGTGTTTTGCTTGTTTATTTCTACATTTGGAAATCAGGTAATTTTCCCCTCTTTCTTTATAACAACATTGTTTTTTCATTAAGACCCAGGACAGGAACTCAGCATTTTTGAGTGGCTGCAAAATGAATAAGCTCCTACTGAATCCAAACAGGGAAAAAACTAAAGTGGAAACTCATAGAAGAAAAGCTGTTTTGCTTGTAATTTTCCAAAGGGCGAAAACATAAATAATAATAGAGAGAAAAGAGAAGTTAGCATTTTCAAGTTAATCTAAGGAAGTTGTGAATTATGTTTCAACGTCGAAAGAAGTATGAGTAATACATTCATAAAGAAGTAAAAGAAAATATATTCATCTATTTCAAAATAAGCATAAATCATAAAATCAGATTGCAAGTTAACCTGTTATTTTTTTTTCTTTTACCTCACAATATAAAGGGTCGTAGATTTTACTCCAAATTCCAAAAAGGTCCTTGTCATGGAATCCTGAAAGTTTTCCCAAGGTAGCTATAAAATCCTGAAACACAAACAGAGAAAGAAAAATTCCTATACAGGTTTCTCAGCTTCAGCACTATTGATATTTTGGGCTGGACAATTCTTTGTCGTAGAGAGCTGTCCTGTGCATTACAGGATGTTTCGGAGTATCCTGGCCTCTGCCCACTAGGTGCCAGTAGCATTCCTGATCTCCCACTTGTGTAACCCAGAATGTCTCCAGACATTGCCAAATGTTCCTTGTGAGGCAAATGTGCCTCTGTTGAGAACCACTGTTCTTCACAGAAAAATGCACCAGTAATATTGGTTACGATAATGCCATTCCAAAGAATTTTACAAACACGAATTGATTATTTCTTCTTACTACATTTAAAATGTAGATAGATGCTGGCTCTCTGTCACATGTTCCTGGTGTGTGCTGGAATTGGATTGAAGTGCACTGCCTCAGATTATTTTTAGAAGTGAGTAAAGTATAACTCATGTGTAAATATGTCCCAGGTGAGAAAAGAAAGCATATTTCAGGCCAAAGCATCCAGGAAAATGCAACAGAAATAGGACTTGGTCTTTGGCTGTACATGTAAAACTTGGATGGAATGCAAATCTTTCACTAGGTTCTGAATGTTTCTTGAATTGTCACAATAATGAGACCCAATGTTCAGCTATCTGATTGCTGAAATTGGCAGCCATTTCTGGGAAGCCTTTTGGAAGATAGTCTGTCTGATGGATGAAATTTCTAGGGAACTACAATTTGCCAATATTAACCCCAACAGATTTTCATAAAATACATAGAAATTATTGTTAAAGAGCTCCTACTGCCATTTTCTCAAACATAAAAGCTCCAGGGCCAGATGACTATCATAGAGGAATTCTACCAAGCTTTTCAAGAGTAAATTATTCTAATGCTATTTTAACTGTTCTGGAGCATAGAAGATGAAAGAAAACTTTCAAAAACTTCTTATGAATTAAGTGTAACACGGATACTGACACAGGTTGCCCCCAAAATAAAACTATTAGTTCAATGCGATATCAATGCAAAAGGTGTAAATAAAATAATAGGAAGTAATTCAATGTCACATAAAAGGAAATGGGTTTGATTTGAGAAATGTAAAGTCTGTTCAACACTGGTAAATCTAGGAATGTAATCAATCATTGTAATTAATCCAAGGAGAAAAATAATTTGATTATATTTAAAAATGTTAAAACAATCATTCAGGAGATTAAACAACTAATATTGATTTAAAAAATACACTCAAGAAAATATGAAAGGTGGATACTTCCTTAATTTGATAAAAATATGTCTATTTTAGTTTAAAAGCCTGTATGCTTGTTAGGAAAACTCCTCTAAAATCAGAAATAAGACAAGCATAACCACTACCAACACTGCCCATAACAGTATACTGTAAGTAGTGGCCAGTGCAAATAGGCAAAAGGAAGAAATCAGAGGTACACATTTTTGAAAACTGGAGATATTGTAAACCTGAAACAAACGTAACAAAAAATGTAAAGACATATATGGAGAAAACCCTAAAATAGTCTTTAAGATAAAACAAGTGGAAACATGTACCATATTCTTAGAAAGGAAGATTTGACAGTGAAAAGTTGGAAATTCTCCCTAAGTTAAATAAATGTAATATGATCCTAATGAAAATACTAAAAATTAAAAAATAATTTTGGAACTAGAGAAGCTGACTCTAAAGTTCACAAAGAAAATTAAAACATAACCATGGAAACTCAGAAAAAGCAATGAGGGATGACTAGCCCTTTAGATATTAAAGCATATTATAAAGTCTTAATAATTAAAACCCAAGTTTTGGCTAATAAAAAATTAAACAGAATAAAAATTACATAAATAGGCCCCACACATATGGGAATTTTAATATATAATAGCTTAAATAAGTGGGGAAAAAATGAACTTTTCAATAAATAATGATGGGGCAATTAGATAATCTTCCAGGAAAAAACTTAAACAGGATACATACTTCATACCTCCTCACCAGTATGAACTATAAATGAATTCAATATATAAATGAGAAATGAAGCTACAGTGCAATTAGAAGAAAGCATTGCAGACTTCCTTTATAACCTAGGAGTGGAGAAAGCTTTTCCAAACATGACTCAAAATATAGAAGCCATGTAAGAATACATCGATGCAGAACCTACATGACAAGAACACGGTAAGCAGTTAATAGACAACCTTTTTTTTAAAAAATGCCATTCATTATGTGTGATATTGTGAAATATATATTTGATCTTTTTTCTTTTTTTGAGATGGAGTTTCACTCTTATTGCCCAGGCTGGAATGCAGTGGCACCATCTCGGCTCACTGAAACCTCCACCTCCTGGGTTCAAGTGATTCTCTTGCCTCAGCCTCCCGAGTAGCTGGGATTACAGGCGCCTGCCACCATGCCTGGCTAATTTTTTGTATTTTTAGTAGAGATGGGGTTTCACTAAGTTGGCCAGGCTGGTCTCGAACTCCTGACCTCAGGTGATCCAACCACCTTGGCCTTCCAAATTGTTGGGATTATAGGCGTGAGCCACTGTGCCCGGCCTTATATTTGGTCTTCATCTCCATTTTCTGCCATAGAACTCCTAAAATCCTTGGAGTCTCCAAAATATGTCTTTTTGCATGCTAATGATTGATTGATGGCTGGCAGTCCCTGGCCAGCTTTAGGATGGGGGCTGGTCACCTGAAAGCCAAGGCTAGGATTAGAGCATTGGTACTTTTAGCTCTACTTCAGAACCTCTGGGGAGGGGAGGGAGTTAAAATTTAAGTTGACAGCCAACAGCCTATGGCTTAAACAATCATGCCTATGCAATGAAATCTCCATAAAGAGCCCAAAAGGACAGGGTTCAGAGAGCCTTCAGACAGCTGAACACATAGAGGTTCCTGGAATGTGGTGGTCCTGAAGAAGGCAGGCAAGCTCCTTGACCTTTTCCTTATATCTTTTGTAATATCCTTTGTAATAACTGGTAACTGTGTTTCCCTGAGTTCTGTGAGCTGCCCCTGCAAACTGATCGAACCCAAAGAGGAAGTCTTGGGAACCCCAACTTAAAGCCAGTCTGTCAGAAGTTTGGAGGGCTGGACTTTCATCTACGTCTGAGGTGGCAGGTTGGGGGCGGCCAGTTTTGGGGCCTGATCCCTCAACCTGTAGGATCTGATGCTATCTCCTGATAGATGGTGTCAGAACTGAATTGGAGGCCAACAGCTGGTGTCCACTACAGAACAGGCGGCCTGTTCGTGGGGAGAGATCCCCCGTATTTGGTCACAGAAGTCTTCTGTCTGTGTTGATTGATGTTGTCAAGCGAGAAAAACAGGAAAAAGCACGTTGAGTGTGTTTTTTTCACACACAAAATATTACAGACAGAAATGTTAAAATACATAGAAAAAAGTTTCTAAAAACTTATAGTAAAAGGAAAATCAATCATCCAAAAGAAAAATAGTCAAGGGATATTGATATTGATATAAAAGGAAATACAAACGGCATTTAACTGATGAGAACACACGGACACACAGAGGGGAACAACACACACTGGGGCCTCTCGGAGAGTGAAGGGTGGGAGGAGGGAAAGGGTCAGGAAAAATAACCAATGGGTACTGGGCTTTATACCTGCGTGATGAAATAATCTGTAGCAACAAACCCCCATGACACACATTTACCTGTGTAACAAACCTGCTCTTGTACCCCTGAACTTAAAATAAAAGTTAAAAAAGAAATACAACCCCAGAAAACAAACCAAAACATGGCATTTAACTAGATGAAGATGCCCAAACTCACTCATCACACAAAAAAAGTACTACAGCACGATGTTGTACAGTAGGTATAATAGTGAGCTTCCTTGTCTTATTCCTAATTTTAGAGGGGATGGATGCTTCTAGTGATATTATTTTCCACTTACCAGATTGGCAAATATCCCCAGAGTGGTTTACATACTGTTGGCAAAGTTGTGGAGAAATGAGCACTTGCATGCAGTGCCGATAGAAGTAGAAAGTAGTAAAACCTCTTTGGAGGGCAAACAAATAATATCTCAAATTAACCCAGAAGGTCTACTTCTAGGATATTATCCCACAGGTATTCTTGTGAAACTATTTAGATGCACAAGATATTTATACATGCTGTTTGTAAAAATGCAAGATTGAAAAATGACCCATATCAATAGGGGCTGGTTAAATAAATTATGGCATAAATAGAAATATTACACATTTGTTAAAAAAAGGAAAAGAAAGAAAAGGAGGAAACTATTTACATACAGATATAGAAATATTTCCAATATATTTCGTTAAATGGAAAAAAAAAAAAAACCAAACCAAGGTGCCCAGCCCCGTGAATAGTATACCATTTTCATTTAACAAGAGGAGAAACTATCAGAATATATTTTTATGTTTGTATATGCATAAGGAAGTTGGAAGACTGTATGAAATATTACATAAAAGACTACATAAAATACATAAAAGACTGCATAAAATTAATACATAAAAGACTACTAGGAAATAATGCTAGTGGTTACCTGTGGGGTTATGGAGACTTCCACTGTATTCCTTTTTAGATTTTCTAATTTTTGGACAGCATGAAGTATTACTCATTCAAAAGATTATTTTAAAAAGTACACAGCATTATATCTACCTTTTGTATTGTGCCGAAAATGAGTATTTTGCAAAATAGAAACATAGAAACAAAAAAGGACTATCCTTTGTATATGAAGACAATAATCCCAGCCCCTCAGCCTGAATAAGGAAGGTAATTTTAGACTTGTATTCTCATTCAGCCATTTACTCACACCTGGTTCCTCCTAAGGCCATGAGTAAAGGATTCAAAAGGACTGGCCTGTCTATCCGCTTGTGACCCCCGTACAGGGAAGGGAAGCAGGAGTGATGACCCCCCTCATTAAATATTCTAACCCATTGCTATAACCAGCCACTGACAGATGTATTTGTCCCATCTTTTTAAGAAGCCAAAGCTTCATCTTGTGTCTTGGCCCTCACACTCAAGTACACCACTAAACAAAACTAGCTTTTAACCTTATAAGGGTGCAGCCTCTTCTGGAATTCCTCTGATGTCAAAGTCTCACTCCCAAGTTCTTGAAAACGAGGGCAGTTCCTGAAAGGCAGGTATAGCAACTGAGGATAAGAGAAAAATCATAAAACCATTATGAGTCAGAAGAACTTTGCTAAATATGCTGCAGCAATATTTTAAGCCTCATTAGGTCCAAAGCAACCTTAATAAAATATTCAAATGTGTTTTGAGCCGAGTGGAAATTCCAAAATTGGGGAGAAAGAATCAAATGATCTACAGGTCTTGAAATAGTAGGATATGTATTCAGAAATGAAAATTCTTTTTTTTTCTTTCATAAACTTGCCGTGATATAACTGTGCTGTTGGTAAATATTTACAGTTCTTGATTTTCCATGTGAACAACTGTTATCTTGCTTCCTCCCCAATCCGTTTCATTTCTTGCACTAGGTGCACATCTGTACACACACACACACACCCCCCCCCCAACACGTGTACGTATGGAGAAACGAATTTGATTCTGGAAAAAATCGTAAGTCAATTAATCACTCATTGACTTCAGTTTTTGCAAATTTGCAGACTGTTAAAATAAGAGAACATATTAAATACTTAGAAAAATATACTTCAAAAACCTGTTGTGAGGACAAAGTGATCTTCCTAAGATTAATTAAAATTTCACAGCGTTTTGTAATTTTAACTATAACCCACAGGTTTGTGGCTCCCAAGTTTATTTTGTTGCCCTTACTTTCCATCTGTGACTAGTCCTGTATTTCTAGCCCTTGATAGAAATAACTAATTTGGATGTTTCTCTTTTTCCTCAAATTTAACATGTACAAGGCTAAACTTGTACATGTTACAAGGGCCTTCTTGCTGTCCCTGAAGGCACAGGCTTAGGATCTCTGCATAAAACTGTTCCCTGCCTTGAACACTCCCCAACTGACTTCTACTCCTCTTCTAGCCATCCTTCCGCGGCCTCTATCATATTAAAATGAATTCCTCTAGGAACTGCACTGCCCTCTTTTCCTATTACTGTCCCTTGTCACTCCTCTCCAGCAATGCTGTGGGCCTTCTTGCTGTCCCAGAAGGCACTGGCTTAGGAGCTCTGCATAAAACTGTTTCCTGCCTTGAACCCTCCCCAGTTGACTTCTACCCCTCTTCCAGCCATCCTGTGCCAGTCTCTATCATATTGACCTATTTCATTTCTTTCCAGGAACTCATCGCCATTGGACATTATTTTATTTACTTCTTTATCATCTATTTTCTATAACATATAAACTTGATGAGAGCGAGGATCATGTCTGTTTTGTTCACTGCTGCAATGTCAATGCCCAGCACAGGGCTTGGCATATTAGTAGCTACTCAGAAAACATTTATTTTAAAAGTTGCTTCCTGTCCATCATTTCTGATTCTGTGTGTCACCTTGTCTTACCTTGCTTCTCTTCCTCTAACATCTTTTACCATCTCATTTCAGGCCTTATTTCTTAATTCCCAAATTGCTTCATAGTTATTCTCTGGGGCTCCAGTGTCTTTTCCTTCCAAGCTACTGTCAGGCAAGTGCCCACAAGTACCACTCATCACATGTGCATAATACTGAAGAATGTATACAGGTTTCTTTTAGGTCCATTGCTTTAGTCTAAATTTGCATGCATGGCTTTCAAATTTTTCCACAGGAGAAATTAAATTGTTGAGAGAAAAAGCACAAGACTGTTCATTAAAAGGCCTTGATTTTAATTAATTACTTTCTGGATGTTAGTTTTTTTTATCCACAAATTGAGTCAGGCTGAAAATAAACAGAATAATCACCGAGACATCTGTCCAGAACTTTGCAGTTTACAGTGTATTTTCCATTTTTGAACTAACTTGACTTTCATAAATCCCTAAGAAGAAGTTAGGTGGGTGCTATTTTCTCATTTTACAGAAAGGAAACTGAGATTTACGGAGGTTACTCAAGGTCATATATCTGAAGTGGTTGTTGGCTCTCAGACGTAGGTTTTCCAACTTCAAATCCAGCCCTTCTTCTCAAGATTCCTCCTGGCTATTAAATTTGGATTATCTAATCTGTGTCCAATATAATCAATTTTATTTTCATTCTCTTTCTAAATATGAACTCTGGGCACAGAAGAACTGGGATTCTACATATTTACTCACGGTCATGTTTTTGTGCTGCTGCCTTCTTCTTCTTCCTCCCTCTCCTCTGAGTTCTGGTTCAAGTTCTCACTCTTTTTTGAAGACCTGAATGACTGCCCTGTGGTAACTGCACGTATGTCTCATTCTCTGACTTCACCCAGCATATGTGGTTTGTACTTGAAATTATTGCCCGCCATCTTATAATGTCTTCTACACGTTTCACACATGCTAATTTGCTTTCATCAGACAAATTATACGTTAGAAAAACTGGGCCTCCTATTTCTCTACAGTATTCGGCACAGCTAATTGCTGGGAATAAGCTAGTGTTGACTGGTTTCATTAGACTTCTTAGTTGATATGAGATAATTTTTTTGACCTTAGTGAATCAGATAGATGGAAGCCATAGGTAGATAATGTTCCTTGCTTCCCTCTTTCTCTCCCTCACTTTTCCTGTTTCTTTCCTCTTCTTCTACTGGCACCTGCATTCTCTTTCTGTGTAATTTAATTACTATCATTCGGGATTAACGGTTAAATAGCTGCTGTGTTCTACATTTTGCTAAATTTTGGTGCTGCTATCCAGTCTTTTTATTTTTATTTTTATTTTTGAGATGGAATTTTGTTCTTGTTGCCTAAGCTGGAGTGCAATGGTGCAATCTCGGCTCACTGCAACCTCTGCCTCCCAGGTTCAAGTGATTCTCCTGCCTCAGCCTCCCAAGTAGCTGGGATTACAGGCGTGCACCACCATGCCCAGCTAATATTTGTACTTTTAGTAGAAACAGGGTTTCACCATGTTAGCCAGGCTGGTCTCGAACTGCTGATCTGCCCACCTCGGCCTCCCAAAGTGCTGGGATTACAGGCATGAGCCACCGCACCCGACCTCCAGTCTTTATCTCTGCAGAAAAGGCTGCTAAAAGTGATTATTTTTCTTTTCAGAATAAAATATTCACAAATGCTTAAGAATACTGGTAATCATAATACTTTCCTCCTGATTCTGTGAAGGGAAAGAGATATAAATAAATCATCCTGTCTTTTCAAGAAACAGCAGAAAAATGGTTGGAGTAGATTTACCTCCAGTGACTTTCTACACAGCATTTGGGAAAAATCCTTAAGTCCCTAGATGCAGCAATTAAGTCAAATTTCTAGGGGTGCTGGCAGGGCAAAGAGGATAGTAACCTACCCCGAGGTCACTGGGCAAAAGTCTGGGTCCAGCAGTCAGTCTAAGCTTCAGCCATAAAGAGTTGAGATGGTCATGCCTATGATGGGACTGCAGGGAAATTAGGAAGGGATTCTTTGTCCAAAACTATTCCTTGCATATAGCCTTAAGTTCCACACCTGGAAGATTAGTTAGATTTATCTGTTACTACTTTAAAAATACCAATTCCTCTGAAAAGGTTAAAGAGTGCTTGGTCGGTCCCACCCTGTGTAAATACGTTTGAGAGTTTCTCTCAAAACAGCCCCATTCAGGCAGCTTGGTTTATAGTGCTGGTTCTCAAACTTGGCTCCCCACTGGAATCATCGAGGGAGATTATTTTTTAAAAACTGATGCCTGGGTCCACCCTCAGACATTCCGATTTCTTATGGAGAGTGCCCTGGGCATCAGGACTTTTAAAAAAAAACCCACGTGATTCTAATATGCAGCTAAGTCTAAGAATCACGATTTTATAGGGAAGAAAATTGCTCTGGAATGAAATAGGCCTAGTTTTAATCCCAGAGTGATGCTTGCCAGCAGTGTGGTTTTGGACCAATTTGTTTGTTATTTAACCTCTCCAAGCACTTATTTCCCTTACTATAAAAGGAGAACAAGAATATTATCCATTCAGAGTTGTTATGAAAGGTAACATGATGACACATATAAAATGTCGGGCAATAATTATGTACTCAAATCTTTCTTTTTTCTCTACCTAGGAATGTGGGTTTTCATGAGCGGAGGAGTGTTTGGCAGCATAGAGATCTCTGGATAATCTGGAGAGAGGAGAAACCTGTGTGGGGTACCAAAAGCCTGGAAATTAAAGGCAGAACACTGGAAGACTAATATCTCTCTCTCTCTCTCTCTCTCTCTCTCTCTCTCTCTGTGTGTGTGTGTGTGTGTGTGACGATGAGGCGGCAAATTGCCAAGAGTTGCAAGAGTGGCAAAACAATGTGGATCATACAGATCCAAAGATAAATTTGGTTCCTACTCTCTCTTAGCTAGGGGTTTCCATGTCCTAAATTGTCCTTTGTATCTTTATTTAAGAAAGAATTAAAACTGCACAGTTCAAGGAGTATCCAGACTCCCAAATCCACAACTACTGAGTAGCCTGCCTTCCTCATTCTAGGTCCATCTGAAATCTCCTGGTTTTCCCAGTATACTGACCTGATCTTCAGAAAGAGGAACTGTGTGCACTGGAATGGGCTGCCAGAGTAGGTTAGGATTCCAGATGCTGACACCCTTTGGGGGAAACAGGGCTGCCAGGTTTGTCATAGCACTCATCAAAGTACGGTCAACGTCTGTGCTTCGAATGTAAACCTAAGTAGGAAAATCAAAGCAGAAGCGAATGTAAAGGGAACATGAGGTTTTCTTCTGCAGAGCTGCAAAGGTATTAGAGAAAGGACAGGACACCCACAGTGAAATATTACAGGCATTGTGCTAACATCGGAATCTTTTTTTTTTTTTTTTT